AATGCACTTTGCCTGCACGGTCTACTGAACAGTATATATAGTCATCAATTCATAAGAATATACAAGGACGATTTTAATAAAGGAGATGTTTAATATTGTCAACACTTATTAAGCGCACGCCAGATTGCGCGGTTAAATGGGAAATAACTGCAATAACGTTTTGAATAAAGAAAACTAAGTTATTAAATTGACAGTGTTCATGTTTGTTGATGAATATATTTCCCTTTTAGTGCCTTGCTTGTGTCTTTTTCTACACCGACTGATTCAAGTACGTCTATAATGCAATGCACAGACCTGTTTGTCCTTTAATATGTAAAGTTGGAAGACATTCTATTTTTGTACACATTTCGTCTCGTGTAACTTCAGGTGTTAAGCAGTTGTGGTTCGATCGCGTGTAAAGCCATGTTGGAGTGTAAATATGTTGAACTCATACCGACTTGTCATTTTTGTTGTGATGTGTGTTTTGAAACTTATTAAATGTATGAGGATGATAAACACAGCAGTTTGGTTTATTGCTGAGACCTAAGCACCACACAGGACAGCGGTGCCAGTTATGATGCGTTCACGGAGCCCAAACGTCACCAGGTTGAAAGTGGTAAATGACATTCTTTTATCTGCCTTACCTACAAAATTGTTGATGTTGGTGGAAATTTATTGGGTAAATCCCACGTTGTCACCCATGGCAACTCTGACTCAGAGTTTTCACCCACTCACTTTTTAATTTGGTAGTAAACAGGTTGTGATCTAGTATACAAATAGTTTGTTTAGACTCGTCATCCACAGTCAAAGACGCCAGCGGTCTGTCACAATAAAGGCGAAATAATTTACTGTTCGGTTTAACTGTTCTTTCACCAAAATCAGTGCAAGGAATGGCTTTAGTTAGAAGAGTAAATCAAATCCACATTTCAAACCATTTCAAATGCAATATTCATTTCTATATATTTCAATACTTAAGAGGAAACAGTAACAAAAAAGAGAGAAAATATACCTTCAAATATATAAGAATTCAAACGAACCACAGCAAATAGAGCCAATACACAGTTTTAGAAACACTGAGGTCATGAGTTTAAGTATTCCCATATTTTACATATTTTATTTTCTCCAGTTAACAGTTCTATTTTTTGTTATATAAATTCTGTATAACCTTCTGTAAGGTCTAAATGTTGTTTCACGCTGTGAGGTCTTCTTTTATATATATTATTATTATCTTCATTTAGCTTAGTATTTGTTGGCATAAAAAAGTATAATACACTGGGAACCAGTTAGTAAAAGATCCACTATGTTCACATTTCAATTGTAGAATGTAAAGTCTTCTCATGTCGACAAAACACACACATTCCTATAGACAACATGACACAGGAAATAACTTCAGTCCCCTCTAGGGAATGGTTGTCACATTTAATTCCATATAGGTGTGGATGCCTATATTATCTATGTTGTTCCGTAACATATCACTTTCAATTTCTTGTTGAAAGTATCCAGAAGCAAGCTGTTCCAAATTTTTGAAAAGTGGAGTTTTAAAATAATCATTTTGTGTGTTTTTATGATTTGATTCACATGAACACGTCCCAGGATTGTGCAGCTATGGTCACCTTCTTCCCTTCCATTTTCTAAAAGTCTGTATATTAATAAACATAAAGATGTGATTCTTTGAACTTGTGGTATAAAAATCATTGAAGGTGTTTAGTGCCTTAATGGTTTATTATACACTATAAGCAAGTTAAAGAGTTTGTACTGATGCTGAAAAGTACATTTTACAAATGCATAAAAGGTATACACTTTATGTGAACAAAATACATGTGACTTTATTTTATGGGCCTCGTGAAAACCATCAAAGTGGTGTGGAAGAAAATCAGAAAAAAAGGTTTGGCCTGCTCTTTTTGTCTCTTTCCCAACACCTCTCCAATAAAGTATTAGGAACCTAAGTCAAAGTAAATATGTTACAACATGATGACATTTCATTACGTACAACCAAATCCAGCTTTCTGCTACTCCAGATTACCTTTAAAACCTAACTGGCTAAATTGCATCATGTAGTCACTATAGGTGCTTTTTGCCAACAATAATAAGGTGATATTTTCAGGTGCTAATTTCAGCTGGGTTAAATTTATGGATGAACAGTGCTCTCAGCTGATTAATGAGTCTGGGTGAGACAAACATCACAGCAAAGCACCTTTTTTTAAATTAATTATTGTGTTGTTGTGAAGGATGTGTTTCATGTGGTTTATTTGTCTTGAGTTTCTGGATCTGACTAAATCCAGTTTCTGACTTCCAGTGCTCACAGATGGACACACTTAGCAGAGGTGAGAATGAATCAATGCAAAGAAATGGCTCTGACTACAGTATATACAGTACATGCCCCTGAAACCACAGCATCTAGTCATTTAAGGTTTTTTCCAAACTGATTATTGTCTAATGAACTTTTGCTACACAACGGCCTACAATAATGAATTTCCAGACACATTTCAGTGACAGACCAGCAGAAATCAAACAACACAAAAGAAAGAAATCTTTATAGATGACCCACAGCCTGTAACAGCCAATCAAAACTGTCAACTGCACCACTAATGCCTGAGAAAAAACTCACTAAATGTCCCTGACCTGTCTCTGCACTGAACACACACAGATTAAAATGATATTCATCTTCTGGTTTGATCCTTCAGCAGATGGCAAACAAGCATATTTCCCAAAGCTGTTTGATATTAAGAAGCTGCGGTGAAGCCTCAATTATCTATGTATAACATCTTTATTCTTCTGATGCCAACTTGACCACAAAATCAAAAGAGCAATCCTGTAGAAAATCATCCTGAGCTGAACAAAGAACATCACTGTTCTTCAGCCGTCATCACCACTGACCATCCTAAGAGCTGAGTTGTTTTGGGTTCATGGCGTTCAGTGTGCCCCACCTTGTCGTAATATTCTGTTGAATGTTAATTGTGCTGTTGCACCTGCATGGTGACAAATCAGCAATCTAATAAATATAACCACACTTAGGTAGTTGCTCAGAGCAGTGGGGGATGTACAGTGAGGAACCAAAAGTCAAACACATCTGACATCTCTACTGCCAACGAAAGGCACTTTCAAAAAAGTGTGAACAAGCTTTTGACTGATGGTGTAAATATTTGTGAAATATTCAACTTTATTGAACTGATTTATTCAGTATTACACAAGAGTGAATAACAACCACAAATGAACAATAATTACTGAGTTGTACTACAAATCCTCCATTGTGTTGAGGTGAGGGAGAAGGCTAGGCCTGCTGGGTGTTGACCTATTTTTATTTCTTCTTTTCTTTGAAGCTTTCTGTCTGAGGAGCACTGTCTTGTTCTCGTCTACAGTTTAAGGATTTGGACTTGCATTTTACTTTCTTTCCTCCATCTTTGCAAACATTAAATATAGCATAAATATACCTTTAACTGTTTAGGGAGGAATTTTCAACCCCCTTTTTTACATTATAATGTTCTCCAGTATAACATCTGTAACATTCTGGAGGATCCAACTCTAGACCTCACATGAGGACCCCATGTGTGTAAAGGGGTGCCTTCAAAACCATGTAGTAAAAATCTATCTTTTATTTTTGATATTCAGTATTAATGTTGTTACAGTGGCATGCTGTATGTCCTGGGCCAACTATATGGGACCCTTTCTCCCTCTGAAAGGAGCACACGGTGTAGTCCACCGCAGTAAGGTGATCAAAAAGTTTCTCTAAATTCAGTACTGCACAACACTGTCAACACAATATTGTGTTTATGCTTATGTGTAAAGCTAAAGCAGTCATGTCTTTAAAAAAGTAACATTGATTGTAGAATTATTGTTAATTTTATAAAAGAGGAAGGGGGCCTATAGGGGCTGCATAGGTATGGGGCCCAGGTTGTTGTGCTCCACAACTGACCATACATAACTGAAGATATTTTTCAGTACTTTTGGCAGACACAGTACTATACAGTACTTTCTGTCTGCCTTTACTACATGTGGAAACTTATCTGTTGTACCATATTTTTATACAGACCTCACAGTGCATATTAACACTATCGCTGAACAAAAAAGAGTCAAAACCACCATAAACCAATGGGCTTTGATGCTTTTGTAGCAGTAACGAGGGTCATCAAGTTTACTTCTAGAGGCCCTGCTCTCTTCCTTCCGGCTAACATACCTGGGGTTGCTAGATGTAAGGTCTGCATTTCGACCCTTCTCCAAATATTTGCATCAGTATGTCATTCACAGGGTGTGATGTGTTGCAACATGGCAATGCTTTATCCTTGACTCCACGGGGGCCGATGCATATGTCCTCTTTGTGGACTTCAGCATTCAGCACCATCATCCCAGACATCCTCCACTTCAAACTCACCCACCTCAGTTTGCCGGGCCACACCTGTCAGTGGATCACTAGCTTTCTGACAGACAAGAAGCAGCAGGTGAGGCTGGGAGGAACCACACCTAGCACCTGGTCAGTCAGCACAGGTGCCCCTGAGGGATGTGTGCTCTCTCCACTGCTCTTCTCCCTCTGCACCAACGACTGCACCTCAAGGGACCCCTCCGTTAAACTCCTCATATTCGCAGATGACACAACGGTCATCTGTCTCAACCGAGAACATGACGAGTCAGCCTACAGAAAGGAGGTTGAACAGATGGCCCTGTGGTGTGGTTGTAACAACCTGGAGCTGAACACGCTGAAAACAGTGGAGGTGGCAATGGTCTTTAGGAGGAGCCCCCACCCCGCACCCATCCCCAACACACCAGCTCAGGAAATTGACCCAGGAGCAGCTGATACAGTTCTACAGAGGAATCACTGAGTCTGGCCTCTGCTCTTCCATCTGTCTGGTTTGGCAACCAAATAGGAAAGGAACAGACTCCATGGAACAGTCAGGACTGCAGAAAGACTCATCAGTACCAGCCTGTCCTCTATGGAGGACCTGTACACCTCAGAAGGTCAAGAGGACGGCAGAGAGGATCATTGCAGACCCCCTCACATCCTGGACATGAGCTGTTTGAACTCCTCCCCTCTGGACGGCGTTACAGGTCACTGTGCACCAAAACAACCAGGCACAAGGACAATTTCTTCCCCCAGGCTATTACTCTGATGAACAGTTAATCTATGTTTATATGTATAACAAGATACAGCAAATTCCTTGTATTTTAACATGCTTGGCAATAATCTTTGGGATTTAAGGGGTGGCTGTGGCTCTGGCTCATGAGGTAGGGCAGTCGTCTCCTGACCAGCAAGTTGGTGGTTCGACTCCCGGTCTCCCCGCATGCCTAAGTGTCCCTGAGCAAGACACTGAACCTCGAATTGCTCCCGGTGGCTTGACTAGTGCCGGTGCATGGCAGCCTGTTGTCATTGGTGTGTGAATGGGTGAATGGTGTATGATCTTCTGTAAAGCGCTTCGGCCAGTGCAACACACTGTGAGAAAGCACTATATAAAATACAGTCCATTGAAAATACAATGTCAGTGAAAAACTAAAACCATCTTGTAGGTGCAGTTTGTGTTTATCCTGAGATCCAGTTTGGTACGTGTGGCTCAGAAGGGGTCACTCTAGATGATATAGCTCTGGCCACCAGTACTGCTGTGAGGGACCCTGGAGTTATTTGAACTAGGATATGTTCTGTAAATCACACATTAATGAAATAGTTCAGGATTTTTCAAGTTGATGTTAAAATCTTATTGCTGTAGCCCTGTGTATGTGAGAATAGGTCAAAAACTGTTGTCACTTCTCTTACTCTCCACACTGACTCTGAAAATTTTCACCCACAACGTAACTACACTGCAAAAAATGGGGACCAAACTACACAACTCTCGTTTTGTATAAACATGCACTCCAAAGTCTGTCTGATGCTCAATTGCAGCTTCAGCTGTCCCACTAAGCTAATTCAAGTCAGTATATTTCAATGTTACAGTCTATTTAAAACAAATTTCCCTCTTATTTCCCTGGACAGTACCTTGTTGTGCTGTGGTGGAGGGATACATTATAGCAGCAACATGTAAATTCTATTACCCACAACCAGCTTTTTACTCACATAAACACATATTCAATATTACAATCTCTTGGTTATCATTATATGGCCATGTGCAAAATAATAGCATACGCTAACATTTGTTTCTATAAAGCTGAATCAGTTACAGTGTGACTGTTGAACTGTTGACTGTCATCACTGTGGCCTTCATAGGAATGTAATCTTATATAGGTATCTTTAGATTAGCTGATGGATAAATAACAGCCTGTTATGTATTTATGTGCACTTTTGCCCTAATCAGCTGTTGTTAGTTCAACCGCTGTGCAGCCTTTCTCTCCTCTCACCTCTCTTACTGTGAAAATGGACTACATACTGTATACATGTAACTCTTGGCTTTGCAAACAGCACCGTTATTTCCATTTTGACCACTATTAGGCACAATTTGGTTCATTCAGGATCTCTCAGGTGAAATCTGTGAAATGCTTTTGACCATCGCTTGTTTCTTTCAAACACGCCAGTTGAATGCATTCATGTGAAGTGCAGATGAGGCAGGAATAAATAGGAAAAACACAGCAGCCTTCTGAGATGGCACACACACAATTATAATCCAAACACAAGAACAGGTTTTACTGGTGTGCCAAAAACACAAACTGTAAAAATAGTCCGGCTGTCAAATGTGAAAGCTATGGACTCGTTACAGAATGAGAATTGTATAGTTCGTCCCTCATTTTTGCAGCTTAGTGACAATCCAAGTGGAAACATTCAGTGTCAGTTTGGAGAGTAGCAGAAGTGACAACAATCAAGACCTATTCTATCATACCCAGGGATGCATCATTTTTTGTTTTAACACCAACATGAAAAATCCTGAAATATTCCTTTAACCAAGTTTCTATAACTGCCTGCGCAATATTGCCAAAATCAAAGTGATGCTGAAAAACTGGTTCATGCATTTGTTACTTCCAGGCTGGACTACTGTAACTCTTTACTATCAGGATGTCCCAATAATTCCCTAAAAAGCCTCCAGTTAATCCAAAATGCTGCAGCCAGAGTACTGACAGGAACTAGCAAGAGAGATCATATCTCTCCCATATTAGCTTCTCTCCACTGGCTCCCTGTAAAATTCAGAATAGAATTTAAAATCCTTCTCCTAACATACAAAGCCCTTAATGACAAGGCTCCATCGTATCTTAAAGACCTCATAGAGCCTTATCATCCTAACAGAGCACTTCGCTCTCAGAGTGCAGGTTTACTTGTGGTTCCTAGAGTCCACAGAAGTAGGTGACACTGAGCCATTCCTTAGTTGTAAACTATGTTAACTTTATGTCTCCTCTCTCCTGTAGTGTGTTCTCTCTCTATCCCTGTACCTTTCTGCAGGTCGCCCTGGCTCTAGAGCTGTATATTTCTGATGAGCAGTCACCAGCCACATCAACTTGGTCAGTGTTTGCTTGTTTCTTGATGCTCTTCTTTTCTCTGTCCACTCACCCGCCAGGAGCCCAGAGCCTAGGTTTGTTCTGTTAAAGAGTTTTCCTCCCTACTATCAAGCTTGCTCAAGGGGGATTTGTTGGGTGTTTCTCTATAATACTCTAAGGTCTAGACCTTGTCTTGAGATGATTTTTGTTGTGATTTGGCACTCTACAACAAAATCTGACTTAAAGTGATTTGTTTACAAGGATGAGTCTGTTTTTACAACTGGGGACTGGAATCTTTATAACAACTTCTCCAGCTTGACAAGAGCGATATGAGGCTGTAGGGGCACTGCTGAACACACCTACTGAGTCCACACAACGCAAGCAATTGGAAAGGTTCAGTTCACCCCACTTAGTTAAACTAAGGGGAAGCGACAGTGGTGCAGTGGGTAGAGGAGTCGTCTCCCAACTGGAAGGTTGAAGGTTCGAGTTGCGGTGCCTGCGGTCCACATGTCGAAGTGCCCCCCCGATGGTTGTTAGTGATGGCAGCGCGTGTGCGCGCGCACAGGCCTGGGGCCCTCAGCTCCAAACATAATTTCGTTGTACTGTATGTGTCACAATGTTACAGCGACAATAAATAAAGCTGCTTCTTCTAATGAGTTGGAATTAAAAATTAATGTCATTTGTACTACACACAATCAATATGATTCCTAAACTGAAATATTTAGAGTGATCCAGCATCATATTACAGTGCAATTCAAATTAAACGTTTATCAAATCTCAGAGATACATTCACAGATATGCCATCATTACAGCAGCCACAGGGATTTGCACTCCAAAACATGTTTAGATTTTTGTAGATCATTTTGTTGAACAAATGTGTGATTGCTCTGGGATCTCCAGGGGTCTGTTCCAAGTTCACATAAGTAAAAATAACAATAAAACTAATAGGAAGAAAGTAGTAATGATGTTGGCTGAACCTGGGCAAACTATAATTGTTGGCTTTGTCTTGACCTATAGAGCTCAGTGAAAATAAAAGCTTTATCAGTCTACAAAAACGTTTAGTAGAAAAAAGAGGAACTGATGCAGTGGATGAAGGACAACTGAGATCCAGTCAACACACCTCGCCATCTGGGAGCTGACAGCCCGCTGAAGAGCCATGGACTGGAGGCCACGAAGCGGTCCTGTGACCACTGTGGGTTACAGAGGGCTGCAGAAGAAGCACATGCAGCAGATTCCTCCTGGTGAAGTGATCAGGATCAAGAAATCCCACGTTCAGAGCAACTTCTACTCACTTCCTAGAGAAATGTTACTGACTTCAAAACTTTGGCTCAAGTGGAGCTGGCAAGTCTAGTTTCCAGTGCGGCAGCAGAACACGGGTTCAGCTTTCAGATCTAAATCATAATGGGTGTGAGAAGCCGTCTGTCTGAAGACGTAAAACAGTCGCCTCTGCAGCAGGCTGGGTAACAGTGGGTCAGCTGAGTTCAGTTCTGTTAGACTAGCAACATGTAAATGGGTTGTTCATATTTAATGGTAATTGTCTCAATGTTAATATTTGTTTGCACTGGCCACAGTATTTTTCATGGCCAAAAAAAGTCCTCTGCTTCATGTGGTGTTGACATGAAAAGTGGCTGCACAGTAGCCTGTTCCGTATATTAATTATTTGTAAAAATGAAAAAAAGTAGGCTATTAAATATGTCTTAATAAAAAAAAAAAGACAGCTAACAATTTTTATGACCCTGTACATCAAAATGACCTCTGCCACAAAGAGATGCAAGATAAGCAAAAATGAAGACTAAATGGCTAAATCAGATGCAAAACAGCCACAAGAAGGCAAACTGAACTATAAAATACAAATCACGTGTCTTGTGTCTTGCTAATAGAAGTGTAGGTGAGGTAGGGGCCTTTTACATGTCTGTACATGTAGGAATAAGATACAAGGCAAAATGTACATAAGTGGTGGTGCACATTTTATTTTAGTGATCAAAATAAACATGTCACGAACAGTATATGGCTAGTATGAGACAGAATGAAATCAGATGCTATTGTGTTGTAATATTCCCAGCTATTTGATTGTTCTACATAACATTCAACATCAGAATAATGGAATTATTGTCAAACTGCCAAGCCTCCCTGTGTCCGATATACACTGCAAAACATCATGACATGAACTAAGTGATATACCATATGGACAGAAATGGTGCAGTGTTTCTCAAGCTAAATGTAAAAGTGATAAAAAAAAGATAGAGATGGCTTTAAACCCTGAAAATGATAATGTTCCCCAACACTTAAAAAAGTAATGCTTTTTATAGACTACACTTCCAGGACTGAGTTTAAAGATTTCAGTCCATCTTTAATATGATGCATCACACGGTAGCCTATAACATTCTGTATTAAGTTACCTTAAGTGAAAGACCAGTATAATTCATAAAAATCCTATGTAATCTGGAATACGTTGGGCACAAAATAAAAATAAAAGTGTTTATAATGTAGTGTGTGTGATTTGAAAGCGAAAATGTGTGTCCAATAGAAATGGCATTCTTGAGAAATATACATTCAGTGTTCACAAATAAGGCAAGTATGATTTGAGTTATAGGCTTTAGGATTAAGACACACGACAAAGAGGAAGTCCTCTGCAGCACAGTGAAATGTAATGTGTAAAAGGCTTTCGAAGCTTCAAAGAACAAACAACAAACACCCCAATGACACCCACCATTCACAGAACAACTGGCTGGTGACATTCATGTGTGTACAAGGCAACATAACACCCAGAAGAAAAATACAATATTACAAATATGAGTTCCTGCTGCCAACACTTTTCCCAGTACTGACAAGGATATTTAAGGTCTGTGGAGAGTAAATCAGGGGTCCTTATTCTAAGTGAGGTGTCAGAGTTCAAGCCTGTCTCTGCAAGCTTCTGCCCAGTTGTCCTTAAGCAAGTTTCTTCTTGTGAATGTTTCGCTATCACAGTCATACTGTATGCTGCAGTGGTTTAACTCAGATAGAGACTGCAGGACCAGGATAGGGTTCCCCACCACAGCAAAAGTCCTCTGGCTCAGGGATTTCCAGCAGCCATGTCTCCTCTTCTTTCTCCTTTTCCTCTCCCTGCTGCTCCTTGTTGCTCTTTGCATCTGATTTGCCCTCGGCCACAGTTTGCAGGACTCTGTAATAGTGACAGTCTCGCCCATCACCTGGATTGTATGGCGGTGCCAGGATATCCAAGAAGGCAGCTGGCCCTTCCACCGCATCAATCTGGTGGAGGTTATCCCTCACAGGAGTGAGGAGGCATAGCCCGCTGTTCTCTGAGTACTCGGCAACTGAGTGGAGCACAGAGCGCCACAGAGAAGTCGACTGCAGTGGGTCCAACGGAGGATCAAAATGAGGCGGGATGGTGTTGACCAAGTTATCATCCAGTTTATCAAAGCAGTGGACCCGCACTTTCCCATAGAGAACCTGAATATGAGACACAAAATACACCAAACAGTGATTAGAAAAGAATACAAACTACTGCTGCTAGCCCAAATATAGGTAAACAGAGCATGCTGCTCAGATATTATTATTACTAACTCATCTTTGATTCTACCATCATAGATAGGAGATGTAACTGTTAATAGGGCTGAAGATTTTCCTTTCATTTTATAATTATTACTTGCTGAAAATGTCACATAGCATGTTGGTGCAGTCCCTAGCCCTGTCACCTCGTCAGCATCAGCATTCAGAGTAAGATTTACACATTCACCAGGTTTTTAAGTCATGTTTGTTAGTAATACTCATTTTATTTTTTGTTACTGCCTCAGATCACTGGTGAATGGAGTGTCTATGCAAAGTATTAGGCTATAACTTCTACTAATATGAGTTTAAAATACAAGCAAACCTTTTAAAAATGTTCTGTATGGTTTGGAGAGAGGGTGGAAGAGCTCTGTGATGTATTTTCTTAACTGAATAACAAATTGTATCTTCTCCAAAAATAAGCCAGCTAAGTCAGTGGGCAGAACAACATCAATGTTTTCCATCCACTGTTGCATGTCATTAGACATCTTCAAGCTTCACACTCAGTTAACGTCATTCATAGTGACAAGAACATTCTTTAGATTCTGCTGTAAAATGTTAACATATAAGAAGGCTAGCATCTTATTTACTACACAGTGTATCATACAGCAAAGCTGGCATTAGCGTTTGCATAAATTAGACGGTGAAGAAAAATCTACCCTAGCCACCTTCAAAATCAAATAAGTAACATTCACCCATTCATATCTGTGGGAGCTACTCTGGATTAACTAGCTGACGACCCTCTTTGGGGGGGGGGGCAAAGGATGCTGGATGACATCACGTGAAAAGGGTCTTTTGCCCATAGGTGTAAAAATGAATGGTTGTCTGTCTGTCAGTGTAAGCCCTGTGACCTATGGGTGACCTGTCCAGGGTGTACCCTACCTCTCTGGCTCCAGTCCCACTGTGACCCTCTCAATGACAAGCAGGTATAACTGATGGATCCCTGAGATTTCTTGCTCTAACCAAAGTTTGAAACCTATTCTGTATTTGTGATTGATGCATGTGATGAACCTAATGCAGGTTACATTTACAGAATTTGCACTGTTCGCTTTAACTCATCTAAAAAAAATATCTTGATACACAGGTGAAATGAAATACACAAACATGCACAGATTTCACAAGTACACATTTATGTAATTCTCCTGATGTCAAATCTTTTGAGACCCCTTTAGAAGGTTTTTTTTTTTGTTACAAAGCGTCAATGTTAGCTTCCTTAAACGAGAAGAAGCCACGCACAAACACATGTGTCCACAGAAGGCCATAACATATTAGACAAAAGGTGCAATCAACCTTCAGCATCCCGTTCATGCCCGGGTGATCGTGCAGCGGTATGGAGGCGCCGGTCCTCAGTAGAAACACCCCCATGCTGAACACCTCCGTCTCGCAGATATGCATGTAGGTGACCGGGGGGCTCTGGAGCCCCGCTGCGCCGGAGCTCGATTTCCGTTTTCGGGGAAAAATTTTCAGGTCGGCTGCCCTGACTGTAGTCACTAAGGAGATTAGTTCACTCTGTTTATCAGCAGCGGGATTTGTATCCCCACTGGCCGAAGACCGCAAGCCTTTAAACGTGCTATAAGCTTGCTTAGCAATTTTCTGGATAAGAGGACTTTTTCTGTCCCGCGGCATTCTGGGTGAGGAAAGAACTAACGGTTATCGGTGTGTCTATGGCACTGTTCTTACACAAATACAGCCGCGTTAAAAACAGTGAAGATCAGTCACTTTCATCAGATTTCAGCCGTAGATGGTCGGACGACGTTCAAAATAGACAAAATGCGACTTTTTCAGCAACAAAACACAATTCATGGTGGTTATTTTTAGGCTCACTAGAAGATAACAGACTGCTGTCCAGTCACTTCTGTCTCCTCGTCCATGCTCACGGAGCATGCGTATCAGAAGAAAAGCAGCGTGGGATATGGAGTTTTACCAGATAACATAAAAGTAGTGTAATTTACGTAAACATGAATAGTGAAGCAATCCATAACCAGGCTACATTAAACGGAAATCTGTGTGTGATTATTTAAGATTACAGAACACATAAACATATCCCAAACTAGGAAAAAATTAAAATTAAACGACAAGGTGAGTGAAACTACATTTCCCAGAGGTACTGGGGAAGTAACAGAAGTTGCAAAGGGAGAGGACCATGAATGCATTATTATTAAAGCTCCTTATACTCAACTGTTTAGCCAGCTTTGCCCAGCGGCTACTCGCAGTACTGCAAGGAAAAATCCTCATGGGGCCCAAAAAGCCCCCAAACCACAATAATATATGGGAAGAAGCTTGTGATGGGACATCTTGAACTACAGTATATACAGAATCAATTATTACTATTTGTATTATGATTTTTTTAATCCATGGAGGTTTTATATTTGTAAAACTGTCCCACAGCCTGGGAAATTGACTTCTATTTTGTGATATCAAAATGTCATCAAGCATCAAGCATGAACGGGGACAGCGGGGGAAACACTAATGTGCATGTGCAGAGGGCCCCAAAATGTGGAAGCAAAGGTGGAAGATAACTTTTTTTTTGCCAGATGAGCAACTATCATTCAACTGACTGGGTGCCACGTTTTATTCCATGATCCAGTTTTTACTTAACACATCCAAGTAATACTAACATTATTGATAACACAGACTAAAATAATGATGTTAATGATGAAGCAAAACTTATAATAACACTGTTAGCAGCAGCACCACAGCAGAGCCAGGCACAAATTGGCTACATTAGAACAGAGACCAATATACATTGTAAATACAAGAGTTTTTGCAATATACAGTACTACATATCTCTCCATATGTAACCCCTCTCACTGGGGTTTCTTGTCTAGTAGCATTCCAATAGTTCCCTGTTCTCATCTCTTGCTCATGAAAGTCTTGTTCCAGTAGACCACTTCTCATCAGGTTGCCCTGGTTCCTCAGCACCTGACGTGGACCTTGTTGCCCCCAGTGACATCTGAGCTGGTGTGACTCTTATTTTTCTTAACCATGAGGTAAACAGGTAGCATTAAGGGCCTCGCCTAAGGACACAGGCTGGATATTGACCACACCCTGACCGGGGTTCAAAACCCCCAACCTTCCATACTAAAGTCAGTGATATTAGCCACTGAGCTTTCCAGTCATGACTTCAAAGGTGGTTGAGAATGACCAAGCTAAGATCCTGTGGCACTTCCAGATACAAACTGACAGACTGGTAATGGCCAACCATCCAGACATAGTAGTGGTGGACAAACAGAAGAAGAAGGTCATAGTGATAGATGTAGCAATCCCAAGCGATAGCAACATCAGGAAGAAGGAACATGAGAAGCTTGAGAAATACCAAGGGCTGAAAGAAGAGCTAGAAAACATGTGGAAGGTGAAGGCACAAGTGGTCCCTGTGGTAATAGGAAGATTGGGGGCTGTGACCCAAACAAATCCCAGGAAGAACATTTGAGATCTCTGTCCAGAAGAGTGCAGTCCTAGGAACAGCTAAGATACTGTGCAGGACCCTCAAGCTCCCAGGCCTCTGGTAGAGGACCCGAGCTTGAAGGAAGGACTTACTACAACTTACTCTTACTCACAAGCAAGAGTTTGTGAGACTTGTAATAAACTGAGTTGCTTCTGTAAAGAAGTACACCAACATTTTTGAGCTTTCAGTCACATTTAAGATGACAGTTCACTGTTATAACATTGTAGATATGTCAGAAAACAAAAAAAAGCATGCCATGAGCCCTTTAACAGTAGGTTCCTTCAACTGCAGAGGTGACACAAAACAATCATTTTTGTTTTGGTTGAATGGGTCAGTTTGGGTGGCACTGGACATTTTAAAAATTAAATTCAAATAAAAGTCCACTTTTAACTTTCATCACCGCAGTATGAGGTCATGCCACTTGTTGTAGGACACATGAGCATTGCCAGGACCCTGAAAATTTACAGTAGCTTTTAATGGCAGTGTCTAGTTAACCATTAAGAGATAAACAGTTTGCCTTTTGATCTGGGTCAAGATTGTAGGATGTGACATAATTAACCAAGCAACAAAACACAGCATCCCAAGCACTTTCTGAGTACCGGTAAATGTACTTTACCAATTGTGTGACCCACTGACTGTATATAAAAACTGGACAAATCCACCGTGATGTCATCCACTGGATTTCTGAAGAGTGATTTTGAAGCTCAAGTCTGTCACTCAAAGTGGCAACACCCTTAATTTATGCATAACTTTTATTCAAAATATAATTTAAATGGGGGGGGTTATAAAAAAACAATTCACCCCCTTTAGAGATGTCATGGAAAAGGAAATTAACTATAGACACCAAAACAATAAACATGTTTAGTTCTACTGTAAAATTGGGTATTTTAACATGGGGGTGTATGAGCAAGTGGCCATTCAAGGAACTGCAGGTTTTGACACTTCTGCAGCGGCTTAATTTCTCAGCCTCGGGCGTTGTCACTTGGTGTGATCGTGTGTGCTTGTGACACAGTTGCATGCCCATGTAGTACCTCCTTAAATGTGTGCATTCTTTTATTTTTTGTGCTTCTCAGTGCATTTGTGTGCATGTTGAATTATGTATGATGCATTCTGCATGATGAGTGAGGGAGACAAAGCAAGCAATATCCTCTTGAGAAATAATGAGGCCGAGTCATGAGGTTCACAAACACACAAATACACTTTTCTGTGGTTGACAAAGGCATGCTAGAATTACACAAGAAGATGAGACCTTGTTGACATGTCTTCATTAGATAAAGCATGCAGTAAACCACATTAATTTAATCTAAAATTCCAAATAGAAACTCTATGAACTAACTCATTTGTTCATTTCTTTATTCTGTTCTCAACACATTGGAGTTTCAGCCAAAGGAACATTTATTTGAAGCACTGGTGTAGACATAATAATCAGCTCACTGGCTGAGTTAAACCTCTGTTGGTGTAGAAGAACTTTTCATATTAATTGACAATGGTGTTAATGCAATACCAATTATTACCTGGGTAGATATTTTTACAACTTCCACATTTCTCTATTAAAAACACTTAATTTGACAAACACAATATATGGCTCTTGTGCATTGCAGGCTCATATACTGTATTAAAATATACATATTGTATTGTGTAATAATAAGATACATATTGTCATGGCCAAAAAATACTGGTACCCTGAATTTCTGTCAGATAATGCACCACCTCTCCCAAAAAAAACTGTTGCAATCACAAACTTATTGGTATTCTGCTGTTTATTTCTTTTGCTTGCTTTGGAACAACACAAACAAGCAGAGAAAAAGTCTAATCTGATCCATTCCACAAAGAACTTCAAAAATGGACTGAACAGAATCATTGTCACCTTTTAAAGCTATCATAAATAGTTGTATTTCAAACATGTGATGCTTCTTTAATTTGTAATGAAACTCACCTGTAGCAACCAACAGGTGCTGGCAATATATAAATCACACTGGCAAACACCTAAAATAGAGAAAGGTTGACTCAGCCTATGCGTCATGTGGACCACACTGAGCACAGAGAACAGATAGAAGAGCAAAGAATTGTCTGAAGATTTGAGAACCACAATAGTGGAAAAGTCTGGACAGTCTCAAGGCTCCAAGTCCATCTCCAGAGATCTGGCTGTGCCTGTGCCCACTGTGAGCAACATTGTCAAGAAGTTTACAGCCCATGGCGCTGTAGCTAATCTCTCTGGATGTGGACAAAAGAGAAAAATAGATGACAGATTGCAACAAAGGATTGTTCTAATGGTGGGTAAAGAACCTTGACCAACTACCAAACAGATTCAAGCAGACCTGCAGGTACAGGGTGCAACAGTGTCAGCTCGCCCTGTGGGACCCTGTGGTAGGAGACCCAGGGTGCCCCATTGCTGACAGAGACATAAAAAAGCCAGACTGGAGTTTGCCAAAACTTACCTGAGGAAGCCACAGTCCTTCTGGGACAATGTCCTGTGGACAGAGGAGACTAAAGTAGAACTTTGTGGTCGAGCACATCGTTCTGCTGTTTTCAGAAAACAAAATGAGGCCTTCAGAGAAAAGAACA